GGTTTGTTTTCAAACCATTACAGGAAGTCTCCTGATCCTCTGCAGAAAGAGGTAGGAAGGAGCCAGTTCTCCAACTACATCTAGGGCACAAGTGCCCCAGATGGTGTATGTGGGCATACCCTGCCCTACCTCAGAAAAAAGAGAGCAAAAAGAAGACAGAGCCACATGTAAGATGTGCCTCTGGTCCCAAAATGAAGACAGGGTGAGGAAGCTGGCTTTATCCTAGGTATCAGAGAACCTGATTATCTTGAGGAAAATGTTATTTCTGTGCTGTTAGATGTTTGGTAGCAGGACCAATGAATATTTGTGGCCCTGACCAGAAATCCAGCTTAAATTCAAGGTCTTCCCCTCCCCACACCCCCTTGTGCTTTTTATAGGGCTGTTTATCCATCTCCTCGGGCCAAAAGATGAAGTGGGTTTGGAATGTGACCAGAGAGCACCACGGATGTTTCAGCTGTATATCCACTGACCTCCCTGGGATTTATTGTTTCTTTGCCTTCCTGCCTTTCTCAGAGTCTGCACAAGAATCAGCTGAATGGGGAAGTGGAGCCTGGGAGAGCTGTGCTGACTGCTCACACAGCGACCTGAGCAGAAGAGCCAGCCCTGGGGCCACTGCCAAGTACAACAGGGCAGGGGACCCTTAAATCTTAATTAATCCCTTTTCTCCCATCTTCCTTTCCCTTGGCTTTGTATTCTGTTGACTTTTCCTTTTTTTTTTTTTTTTCCCCAATCTTGTCTCTGCAAATCTTTTTCTTACCTGAATGAAACACAGAGGAACTGTAAATGGGAGTGTACAGCCTGTAGCTTGTATCTTCTGTGGCGCACACTTTATTTTCTGGGGGTTCATATCTTGGCATCTGTCTCTTTGGAGAGTATGCTGCTGACAGTCTCCAGCTACTGTGGATGACCTAGCTTCTGTTTGAGATCTTCAACTGATATGACCCCATCTTTCTTCAGAAACCAGTCTGTGACATTGTCATTACTGCTATTAGCCATTAATGGAGACTATACTCAGCTCAAGCATGTGAGGTGGTATAATTCTTTCAAAATCTCCACAGAACTCAGTTTTGACTTCACATTTTTAGCTGATGGAGAACTAGTTTCTTACCACATAAGGTCATGTATTTTCCCATGGGAACACTAAGAAGTTGCACTATGACTCTCTGCTTTAATTAAATAAACCATTGCTCTACAACATTCTTTAAGTATTGCTAAGAGCAAGACTAGTCAGAAGTGGGGAAAAAGTCCTTTGCTTTTCTACTATATAATGTGTGAGTGAATACTGTGAAACTGGGTGGCTTTTAAATCCTGATGTAAACATCAAGATTCATGAAACTTATGACTGATGTGACTCTGGCACATGTGTCCAAAATTTAGGATCATTTTAAGATAAAAGAGAGTTTGAAAAGTCAGTATAAAATGTTGTTAGCATTTATATTTTTGTGCTACCATAGGAAGCTAAAATTTAGGAATCTATGAAATTTTCCATGAAACTTCAGAATGTTTTTCTTGCCATTGAACCATGCAACATGTTCTCCTATTTAAATTAGTATCATAGAATCGCTATGGTTGGAAAGGACCTCTAGCATCAAGTCCAACCACTATCCCACATTTCCCTATCCACTAGACCATAGCCTCAAGTGCTACATCTACTCATTTTTAATTGATTGCTGGCTGCCTTACCTTGGATGTTGAAGTAATGAAAACTTTGATGCAGATGTATTTTCTGTTGTAGAAGTTCATATGCTAGGTCAGCTTCTGCCCCAATATCTTCTATGTTCTTGTTGAGGTCAGGAAACTCATACAGTGTACTGTGAAGGGGATCCATTTGTGCAACTTCTCGTCTGAAAGGAAAATGGCAGTTGTGCAGAAGTCAGACTGGATTGTTCTTAAACTAGAACTGAGACATATAATATTTTTGAGCACAAGAGACAGATTTCTAAATGAGCAGAAACATTTACTTGCAATGGCTTATTTAGAAAACCCTTAGGATTAACTGGAAAATTCCACCTTTTAAGCATAGGCCTGCGGGAGACAGATTATATATATTACATTCTAGCCCTAAATATATTTTAAAAAAATAATAAATATATGTATTATTTTGTTCACAGATCTATTGAAAACAGTGACTTAGCAGTCCAGCATATGCGTGCTGATCAGAAGTGGGACTTGATGTGTAGGATTGGCTGTTTGAGCCTGGGGGAAGACTGCTTTCCCAGCCAAGGAATTTCTTCAGGAGCAGCCGAACCCTTACTGAACATAGCCCTGAAAATCCTTGATGCCTGAGAGGGCCTGCAGTGAAAGGACAGGATGTCTCAAAATTCTTTCAACTTCAAAAATGGCATCTCCGAAGGCTTTGAGGCGCAGGTCACAGCTGGGCATTTGCCCTCCTTTATCTTCGAGGTTTGCAGCGAGCCTCAGGAGCCCCTGCACAGCGTGGGCGAGGGCAGCGGCCGCAGCGTCCCACTGATGGAAACAGAGATGGCACTGGCGGCAGGAGGGGAAGGCGCTCTCAAAGCCCCGGCCGCACTGGCTGCAGAACCGGCCGGTGACGCCAGCGCGGCAGTTACACGCGCCGGTGGCTTGGTCACACTTGGGCTGGCTGGTTCCTTCTGGGTTACACTCACACGCTGCAAGAAAGGGACAGCAGGTTACACTTAGTTGTTCCTCTTCCACGGGTTTAGCATGTGAGAAAGGTACAGCTGTGCATTTCAAAACAATGAAAGCAAACCAGTATCTGAGGTAGAGCAAAATGGACTGAGTTAGTGGCTCTTTTTCATCTCTAACTTCCACAGCCACATCATAACCACAGAAGGAACAATATGGATAAATAATATAAACACTTTTAATCATCTCCTACACAGAAATGTATGAAAGCCTGCTTCTCCAGATGTATGTCCATCTAGACATCCATCTCTATATGAATATAAAAGGTAAATGTTTCTTTTGAGCCAGTTTCCAGTCCCGCTGTCCCCACTCAGTGATACTCACAAATGCAATGTCTCTGGGGATCACCAAAGTAATTTTCCTCACATTCATTGCAGCTTCTTCCACGGTAGCCTAGTTTACATGGACACTGGCCTGTAAGCTGTGAAGACAGGATTAAATAAATTCCTGCAGAGTCCTGCAGCTGGATATATGCTATTTTCTGGTTTTCTTTTTCTCCCTGTGACTTATGTCATGTAGTGCATGACTGCAGTGACACTGCTTGCACATGGTCTTCGAACACCATGATTTATACGCTATTGGCCAATATCCCCCATCTTCCTACTGAAGGCTATGAAAACAAAATGGACTTTGAGAGGCGGCTTTACTTTGTTAATATGAAAGATCCTCTATGTTCCAGTCTACAGATGCTCTTTGAAAACTTATCATCTGGCTATGATTTGAGAGAGGATTCTTTTCCTTTGCAAGACAGACTAATCTGTTATTTTTGCTGGAGCAAGTACTCATCTTAACCTTTTAACTAAATGATGTATTAACTGTAACTGAAAACTTAGAGGGTACATTATGCACATCACCCTGGAAAATTTATTTTGGAATTCAGCTGTTAAATTAAACTGCAGGGAGTTACAGCTCTGATAACCGGTACAGCTCAGAAAAACAGTAGTAGTTCTTTGAGGTTAAGAGCTACATTTCCTAGGAAAAATAATAAAAAGATAAAGTGATAGATAAAGTGAAACAAACGGAAGGCATATTGAAATGAAAACATGAAAGCACATCAGCAAGAGCTTGGGATAAGCTAGTGGTGCTCTGAAGTCAATAGCAAAATTGCTGTCAACTCCATGAGACCAGAGTTTCACCTCTCTATTTGTTCTGCCAATGACCAGGCCCAACAAAAATGATACAGCCAGCAGAAAGAGAAACCAATACCCAGACTGCATTGTAAACAAAAACGTTATGACATGAATGACCGCCAGGGGTACAAACAGGTCAACCAGCTCGTAAATAATCTACGCCACCCCCAACAATCCCACAAAGGACATGACTCGGCCCACAACAGGTGGTACAAACAGTGAGCTGAGGTTTCCCATAGTTGGCATGGGAAACAGCCAGACCAGCAAGTTAAATACATAAGAGAAAGGTGCCCAGATGGCGACTCTCACCCGATCAGCCCATGTTCACAAAGGTGTAAACAGACTGGGGCCCAGCTCCAGGGAGAGTCAGGAGGTCTTCCCTGAACCAGGAATCTCTGTGGAGTGCACTCCACAGAGCAGACACTCCTGACTCCCTGCAAGTGGTCCCAGCTTTTATCCCCAAGCAGACACCTGACCTTTTTCAACTCACTGCGGGACCCCTGGGGCTCATTTCCCTTCTGGCTCTCCCTGCAGGGCCGGCCGCACCCTGGGGGGAAGCTATAAGGCAAACTCACCACCTCTGTATGAAGGGCTGTGGGAATCACCCATATGCCAACCTTAATTTGGGGCTCAGGGTTCAAACCCCAGCATTTCACTATTCTGAAACGCTGTTTTATTTTTTCTACATTTCAGCCCTAAAAAGTGCAGAGAAATTAAAGATGAGAAAAGGTACTCTAGCAGTCTGATAGATGAGGCACGATTAGTGTAATGGCCACAGCTGCTACTTTATGAAAATAAACACTTAAAAAAATACTCATAAGACTATTGGGTCCAGGCCTGGACTTGCTTCTTCCCTATATGTATACTTATGAGGCAATTTTTTTCCTGCATGACATTTCTTCTGAAGTATTCCTAAGGATCACTTGACAAAGAAACACACAGACAAAGAGAAATTGCTTACAAGCTGAGCCTCATTGTCAGAGCAGCACATTTGATATAATGACTCAAAGTGTGATTGCACCAACTGCAGACTTTCAGAGACTTCTTGGTTTTAGGGAGCACAACAAAAAGCTATCCTCATTTATAAGAGAGTCCTCACCATACTATGCCAGATTACCACTACCACAGTTCCCAAAAAGCAGAGTAATTTTCTTGCCTGGTTGCAGTGGTTGCTTTGGGAGTTTTTTGGATCACAGTCACAGTTCTGACATCCTTTCCCACTATACAGGTCCCAGTAGCCAGAGGCACACTGGTTGCATGTCACACCCACCACGTTGGGCAGGCAAGGACAAGCTCCTGTGGCTGGGTCACACAGACAGGCTGCGTCCCCCCCCGGGCACATGGCAGGGTGAACACCCTCCAGATTGCACGTGCACCCTGGAAAAAGAAGGACGATTACTACAGCAGACAATAATATAGACAGCTGAAGGACAATCAGAGTTGTACATAATGTCCATGCTGTAGGTTTACTTCTAGTAATCTTGAACACATTTTTAATCTCATACAGTTTACCTGTCTTTCTAGAGTAGCCTATGTATCACTTTGAACAAACTTACTGGGAATGTTCAATACTTTTAATACAGTGTAATGAATTTTGAACCTTACTAGAATGAAATGTTAAATATGCTTGGTAAGGAGAAGCTGATTTCTGGTAGGCACTGTCTAGCGTGGGAAACCCCAGTAAGCCCAGAAAGATAAGAAGCCTTCCTTCTGAGGAATCAAAAGTTTTTCTTAGCCATTTCTAACCGACATCTTCCAAGAATGAACAAGGAATAAGCTTGAACTGTGGTTTAGATATTCCCAGAAAAAGTGTTTCTTGAAAATACCTATAATGGTCTAGCCTGTAGAAACTAGACCCTCAGTCAGGCACATTTGTGAAAACAGCCTGAGAAATCTTGGGAAGAAACTTATCTTATGCTTTGTTTTTTCTTACACTCCTGCCTTTCTGTTAAAAGTGCTGAGTTACTGATGGTGTTCTCACTGAGTCTATCAAATTGCCTGAACAGTCACATTCTAGCCACTTACTGAAAACAACTGATACGGCAGGGAGCTCAGCAAGGGACCAGCTGGTTAACTGCACATTGCTTTGTTAGCACCAGCCAGCAACACGCATAAACAATTTCTTTTATTCCGTTACTTTTGATTCTTTCCTGAATGGCATGAATGCACATTTATTTTTTCTAAAAGAGAATTCTGATTTAATTTCCAATTAGTATTTCCTAGGAGTGATATTCAGTATGAGATTTAGTGAGACTTGGCGGACAAAGAATTTAACAGACGCCATATTAACAGTCATTTGTATCACCAGATAGAAATATGTTTGGTATTATCATATTTTGCTCTATTGACCTGCATTAGTTTTATTGTCTCTCCAAGGGCTAACCTCTCCCTATTATCTAATGTCTTTCAAACTTTTCTTGGGAGTAATACACAGTCGTGGTGCTCTTGGTTACTTACTTTGACAGTTTTGATTGAAGGCTGAGCCAAAATACCCTGGTCTGCAGAACTGGCAGTTTGCTCCGTGGGTGTTATGTAAACACTTGGTGCATTCCCCTGTGACCCTGTTGCAGGACTCTGGGTCTGTCACATTAATGTTGTTATTGCAGGGACATGGCACACAGTCAAGCCGGGGGCTACCTGGGTTTTTGTAGAACCCACTAGGACACTCATCACACCGATTGCCTGTTGAAGATGAAGGTAAAAGTATTTGCTGGCTAATGGGAATTCAAGTGAAACACGTAATTTCCAGTAATACTGTTAAAAGATTGTCTGTTCAAACGCACGTTTCCGATGGAAAATATTCACCTGCTTAAGACTGTTGCTTTTTAATCCTATGACCCACTCAAATTAGATCTCCCACACCGAAGGTGGAGGTTTCCAGAAAGTGCCATCAGATTAATTAATAGCTTCACTGTACCCATATGGGTGAGACCCTTTTGTAAGCACTAATTGTACAATTCCCACTCCTCTCGTTCAGGACTTCTCCACATAATTTCAGTAAATTCCAGTGTTAACTTCTCTTATCTACTTTATTACCGTTACCTCACTTGTTTCTGAACAGAAGATGGATGTTCTTTCTCTCATACATTAATTTTAATAAAATCAAACCCTGTCCTGTTTTTGCTTTGTACCTGAATATCCCTCGAGACAATTGCAGACTAGCTGTGCAGACTGGGAGTCCTGGTAACAGGAATGTGCAAAATAGCTGTTGCTCATAGGTGCCCCTGGGCACATGCATGGGCGGCAGGGTTCCCTGGTCAGGGGGTTTCCATAGTAGCCATCCACACACCTGTCAAATCAGTCAACACAAAGCAGCAGAAATTGTCAGGTGCTCCTTTCAGTTCCTGCAAGTAAATCAGTGTATATGTCTCTATAATTAATTTAACATTCCAGGTCATTGTAATGCTACCCTCATTGACGGCTACAAATGTATCAAGCTTCAAAGGTGTTCTAAAATGGAAAATCAGAGCTAAATTACCAAAATCTGGAGCAAAAAGGAAAAACAAATGTAGGTTTTATTTTCAAGGAATATTTCTGAAGACTTTCACCTACTCTGTAACAATTTTAATCTAAAAGATAATATATACATGTGGCATATCACACATGATCTGCATAGAAAGCTAAAAGCTGCCATGTAAAAATGCTGTATATTCACCTATCACCACATACATTCATCTATTTCCATACACACACACAAAGAGTGGTTGGCATGACATTAGAAAGTTCTGGCATAGGCAAAAAAAGCAACAATTCATTCAGACCACTCAGAAAACATTGCATATTTTATGTACAGCATATGTACTGAAATCAGCCATGCTCTGTTTGACACGTTCTGCAGACCTGCAGAACATTCTGGGGTGATGGCTTTTTTGAGGTGGTGACGGTTGTGCTGTTATCCAGACAGGCAGGGGCTCTGGGGGCTCCCTGGGGGCTCAGCCATCCCTGCCACCCTGCCTGACACTGCCATCTCCACGGCCTGGCCCTCCATGGCCCCACAGATCCAGAAACACAGCAGCTTCTGAAGCTGCCTCAGTCTTTGATCTGCTTTATTATGGCAAATGGGAACACAATTCTCTGTACGTATCCAAGCCAGGCTAAAAGTCTTGGCTATTCCAGGCTATTATCCTCGCCCTGGGGTCTGGAGCTCCTGCAGAGGCACACGGCAACAAGTATTTCAGTCTCTCATTTTTAATCTACTTGCCACCTACAAGCACAGTAGCCAAAGGCTGTATTGTCCAAAAGCACTGTGAGAAAAGCTCAATAGATTTCATGGGGAAATCCTCTAAAAAATGAATGACGAGGTACAATCCAGCCAAACTAAGCTAAACAGATAGTGAATTTAATTCTGATGACCATATTGAACTCTGATACTGCTACCAGTGTATAGAATAAAAAAGAGAAACATTGATTTGAATGGGCCTGGAACACACAGGAAAAGTCATTTGCTGGTCATATGGACATAATACAAACCAGCAAAAAAGGCATGTTTGTTTAAGCTCCTGAGAGAGAATTGCAGGTATAAAAATGAATATTCAGCATGAGGTTAGCCTCTTGGCAATTTAAAAGCTGCCAAGAGTCAGCGTATCTCATTTGCAGTGCTTTGCATGTCTCCAAGCTCATGGTGTTACAGCATCCATGTCTCAAATGACTTCTGGCAGGAAGCCCACTGCAGTACTGCATCCATGCTGTGCCCGCAGTCCTCCCACAGGCATCACCTGCACCTTCCCACATGCATTTGCTGAACAAAAAGGTACCTGACATTCAGCAGCTAGGCCCAGCTTAACCCTGGGTTTAGGTATGTGTTTCCAGTTAAGGCCATCAATGCATTCACGGGAATGCAGCTGCGCCCCAAACCACACATGCACTTCAGAGAACACCAGTGTTTGGGTGCGCTTTGCAGCGCTGCCTATCAACTTACCTTTCACAGTGGCTTCCAGCTGTAAAGCCACGGCAGTTCAGGCACGCTCCTGTCACCGGATCACAAAGCTCCGTGTAGCCATTACAGGAGCAAGGGCGGCAGTGGGGGAATCCGAAATAGCCGGGCAGAGGGCGGCTGCAGCGCTGGCCAGCCACCTCTGGGCGGCAGGAGCACTGCCCCGTCACCTGGTCACACAGCGTGCCCAGCGAGCCTTGCGGGTGGCACTCGCACGCTGGAAAACAGCGAAAGCAAAGCTGTGTCCTCAACGAATTCCCACCTGCTCTGCTCGCCACTCAACACTGCTCGACGGCAGTGCAAGCGGCGGGGGTGGAGAAGTCATCATTTGCAGAGACGTGTCTTATATTGCCTCACACATACTCATGAATTCAAAGCCCTAAAAAGCTGGGCTGTGCATGAAGAGCCAGACGCTGGTGCTGGCTGCCAAGTACTCACCGCAGCAGCCGTGGAAGCCGAAGCCATAGCTGCCTGCAGAGCAGGTGTCACAGCAGCGTCCCACGACGTTGGCTTTGCACTGACACTGGCCACCCAGTTTACTGCAGCTGGTGTTCAGCGACCCCTGGGGATTGCACTTACATGCTGCCAAGGGGAAAGAAAATCAAAACAGGTTTGGTTATGAAGGAGTGTGGCCGCTCTGGTAAACTTGCAGGTTTTACACACAAAAACAGGAAGGAAAGGGCTTGATTATTCTCATCAGAGGTTCACTAACTACTGATGGCCATGGCTTGGATTATTTCATGCTGTAGCATTGATGGTGATGGTGTAGCAGGCACCAGCACGTCTGGATGTTGGAGCTGCCACATTCAGGGCACTGTCATCAGTACATATTTGGGACAGGACAGAAGACGGCATAGCAAAATGTAGATCCAAAATGAAGACCTCTTGAAGTCTAGAAGAGTTTGATATAAATCTGTGTCTAGCTGCAGCACTGGACATAACCTGCAAGCAGTACTTACACAGCCCACACCTGGGTACTGTTTGCTGCTTTCTTGGGCTACTTGTTGAGTGAAGCTGGTCTGCTAACTCACAGAGGATGTTTGTCCAGGATGCTCAGATGCCACTGCTAGAATGTCAAAGTGCCATGTTTCACTGGGAGAATCCCATCACTATGGGAATTGAGCTAATGGAGAGTCATTTCCACGGTGGGTCCAGGAGACTGCCTGGGGAATCAAAGCCCACCTCCCACTGCTCTCTTGCTGGAACACCACCAAGGTTTTCTTGGTTTATCTCCTCCAGCACTTAAGCTTGTGTGCTATCATATCTCGAGTCCTACCAGGGCATCCAGCTGGCCTGCAGCATACAAGGAGAGAGCTAAAAACTTCTCTGTCATTTCACAGCATCCAGGAAAGTAAGAAAGTTACTGCTTTGACCATTTGGTGAAGCTGCATCTCATTGAAGTGCTCTTCAGAAAACACACAAGCACTGCTATGGTCCCTGTCACACTGTGCCATGGAGCTTATCAGGTGTGATGGACTCCAAGAGCCACGCTACCAACGGTGTTGGCAGTGCACTCAGGGTTCAGCGGGGAGTATCCTGTACGTCCATACACACCACGTGCTGACTGGCTTCACTTACCTACACCACACGGGCTGAGAGCTCTCCAGTCAGCTTATCCTACAAACTGAAGGGAAACCCAGTAAGTGTCCAAAAGAGCTGCCTGGGCAGGTTGTTCCTTACCAACGGCGCCATTGTGAATACGGGCTGACATGCTCACTATGAGCTGTGCACATGTTTCGGGCAGGACGTGAGCTCCAACTTCTGATGCAATTTCAACACAGTGATACTTCTGGTACTCATCTAAATCCTTTTCACTGCATAAGTTCTCCACGGAGTCAATTCTGGGAATAAGTCCAAGCTTTGACATTAAGAGGGAAAAGAAAACATTTTTGCTTAGATATACTGAAAACCAGAATTTCCCACATTCTCTTACTGCACTCTGCATTGCAAGGACAGAGGCCTGCAGCACCACATTTCCAAATCTGCCATCGTGCTGCTCAGTCATCTAAATTCACATTTATTCTGAAGGCCTAGACATTCCCCAAGTTCTTCAAATAAAAGAGACTGTGTATAAAAAAGGCAGATTATAATAAGAACTCAGATACATGCTCAGAACTGGTTTTGCTTCTAAGAGGTGCCATGTTGATGACTCTGAAAGCAGTATCTGGCCAAAATCTTTACTTGTATTACTGAGATCAGCTGAAGGTTCTATGCCCAAGTATGGCCAGCCCTTGTCAGGTCCAGTTCTACAGAAGTAATTAGGGGAATGGACTTAAAAATATTTTTCTCAAGAGAAGGACCCAAAACTAACACCCAGGCCCTGACTTGGTAGAAACTTGGGAAACATCTAGATCTGATGCCTGGGAAAGTACAGACCTAATTTTACTTTTCCAATGTCATCTGTGAATAGATCCATGATTTTTTTTAATTAGATTCAAACAAATTATAGAGATTTAAAAAAACCCTAAGAGATGAAGAACTGCCTGAATATATATCCCTTAGCACAGCATCTTGTCAGCATATGTGGCGTGTCCTCATAATAAATGAGTGACAAATAGAGAAATATATTTTGACTACTAACATATGCAACAAGTATGACTTGATGAACTATTATGATATTGCTCCATAAAAATTAAAACTGATACAATCCTGTCTTTTCATACAAAAACACAGTGCCAACAGAGGTAAGCAGAAGCATGCTTTGCTGAATTTCTATCAAAACGCACTATGAATTATTTTTAAACGTTTCGTCTGTGTTTTAAACATATGTAAGTCTGTATAAAAAAAAATAAAAACCAGTGGTATAAATAGAGCCTCAAGGGAATTGTGACAGAACTACTCACAGAGTCAATCAAGATGAATGATTTTCCCTTTGTCTCAGAGGCAGAGGGCTGAGAAAAATACACATCCACAGAGTATTCTTCTCCCGGCTCCAGACAGACTGGAGTATTAAGAATTGCAATCCTGTTTAGCAGAAATAAAGCTCAGTTTTAGCCAGGAGTCGAGACAGCAAGTTTATGGGATGCTCTGAGCTCTCCCCCTGCCTGTGCCTCATGCCCACAGCCCCTCATCCGTCCTGATGTGGGGAGCACCCCCAGCCCCACTGCTTGGAGGCTTTGGGAAAGCTGCAGAACTTCTGCCTGGATGATTCACCGAGCACAGTTTAAACCTGGTGAAATTAAACTGAAAATGCCATTTTACTACTTGAAGCAAATAAATTTGCAACTCACTGTTCAGTTTCATCTTTTCCTGTCCCTGTTTGATGAAGAATTAGGTCACATCCTCTTCACACAGAATCATGTGCTACAGTTGAAAAGGACCTTTAAGATCATCGAGTCCAACCATCACACAGAATCACCCAGAATCGTGCTGTGCTGTGCTGTGCTGTGGTTGGAAACGACCTTTAAGATCATCGAGTCCAACCATTATCTAACTCTGTCAGGTCAATTCTACACCATATCCCTGAGCACTCTATCTAGACAGTTTTTAAATACATCCAGGGATGGTGATTCAACCACTTCCCTGGGAAGCCTGTTCCAGTCTTTGATCTTCCTTTCAGTGTAGAAGTTTTTCCTAATGCCTAACCTAAACCTCCCCTGGCATAACTTAACACCATTTCCTCTTGTCCTGTCACTTGTGGCTTGTAAGAAAAGGCCTCCCTACAACCCCCTTTTAGGCAGTTGTAGAGAGCAATA